ATTACAAAAGATTAGAAATGTTTAGTCTGCTATGATAACTCTAAATATTCTCCCGCCTGGGAATGAAGTTGTTCAATCACATCATTTGGTGGTAAATCGGCATCCAAAACGATCACAGGTGCAGGTAGGAGATGTTGTTGATTGATGAAAATGTCTTCATGTAGCTCGTGAAGAAGATGCAAATATTCAAGCGAAATATTGGTTTCTTCAATACGTGCACGGCTGTGAATACGATGGATGATTGTTTGAGGTGTTGAACGCAAGTACACGAAGGCATCAATTTTGTTAGAGTTGCTGTGAGTCATAAAATCATACCATTCGTTGAGGATGTGGTATTCAACAGGATGGATAGACTCTTCTCGTTTTAAAACTTCCACAAAAGTTTTTGGGGTGGTGATGACGGAACGTTCGAAGACTCTGACTGCTGCTTCGGATGCGGTATTTTGCGTCAGAATCATTGTCATCAATGCATACACTTGGAAAGGAAAGCTCCAACGGGTTTTGTCTTCGTACATCATTTGCAAGAGATTGTAGCCATTTACAGAACACCATTTAGAAATGGGTTCGAAGAAAACTTCGCATTGGGGCAAAGTTTGTAAATGCTCCAAAAGAGTTGTTTTGCCCGAAGCAATATTACCTTCGATGATAATGGTAATACTTTTGGCTCGATGGACCGATAAGCAACTCGACAAAACAATGGGACTGGATGGTATGGTTGAAGACTCAGCATTGGATGCCTCAGGATCCTCTTCAATCAGTTCGTTGAGTTGTGAGTGTTCGTTGATGGGCAAAGGCGATAACTTAACGACAGGTCGCTTGAAGATACCAGTTTTTGTCCTAACCGAACATACTCGAACTAGACCGTCAGTTCCAGGGTGTGTATCGACGATGCGTCCCATTATCCACCTAGACGGGGGTAAATTATCTTCCTTGATGAGTACGACGTCACCGATTTTTAGATTGGGCTGTTCACGTGTCCATTTGGCGCGCTGTTGAAGCGTTTTGAGGTAGTCCTTGTGGAAAATATTCCAAAATGATTGGGCTCTTTTCAACATCATGTTGTACCGGTCGAGAGGCAAAACTTTCTGATCCAAAAGATTTGGTTCAGGGATTGCCAAGAGCGAATCACCGATGAGAAAGTGGCCTGGAGTTAAGTAAGAAAAGTCGTCTGGGTCATTTGACATCGGAATCAACGGTCGAGAATTTAAGCAGCTTTCGATTCTCGTTAGCAATGTTGCTAATTCGTCATAGGTCGTTGATTGATCGCCGGTGACAGTTCGGTACAAATGTTGTTTCACTCGCCTGATATTTGATTCCCAAATATCGCCGAATGAAGGAGCCGAAGGTGGGTTGAAATGAAAGGTAATGCCTTGATTGGCCAACTCGTTGACTAGCTCAAGATGAATGGATGCCAAATAGTTGTGATGGTCTGACTGCAGCTGTCGATTTGCGCCAACGAAGTTCGAACCACAGTCGGAGTAGAGATCGGAGCACAATCCCCGTCTCGATACGAATCTCTGCAAAGCCATCATGAATGCTTGAGAAGATTGGTCGATGACAGGTTCCAAATGAACGGCCTTGATGGACATACACACGAACAGAATGATATATCCCTTGTAGATTTTACTTCCACGGATCTTTGATGTTCGTAGGCTGATGGGTCCACAAAGATCGATACCGGTGTGTAAAAATGGCCTCGATTTGGTAACACGTACCGCAGGTAGATCGGCCATTAGCTGAGTGGAAGTTTTTCCCTTTTGGCGATGACAAATCACGCATTTCGAAATGACTCTTCGAATGGAGTTTTTTCCGTCAGGAATCCAAAACTGTTTCCGAATTACAGCCAATAAAAGTTGAGCTTCGGCATGAAGTGCTCTCAAATGGAAATGACTGATAACTAATGCTGTGAAGTGGTGGTCTTTCGGAAGGATGTACGGGTATTTCTCATCGTAGTTCAGCTCACTCAAAGCTAAGCGACCTCTGATTCGCAGCAAGCCCTCTGGATCGATGAATGGTTTCAGCTTCCAAAGTTGGCTTTTCATCTTCTCTTCTCGATTTGATAGAAGAATCTTCTTTTCCCTGCTGAATTGTTGTGACTGGACGAAAGAAACTAATTTCTTCTTCGCTGAATTCAATTCATCAACAGTGAGGTGGTGCGTCTCAACATCGTTTTTGTTTTTGATGAATCTGAAGAAGCGTCTAAGCCAAGAAGTGTAACGCAAAAGTTGAGTGTAGCTGGAACAATAGCTCAGCAATTTCTCGGTTGGAGTCTCTTCGCTCGGAATCGAAACTAGCATGGTGGCCTTGAGTTCGCCTCGAATCAAGTCGTTGTCAGATTGATTGATGGAAAATTCGCTCGACTCAGGCCAATGGTTTTGTGGTAGCGCTAACCAACTTTCGAATCCGTCCAGAAATGAATGCTGGTTGGATCGAAATGGTGATGGCGAAGCGATCGCAGTACGTATGCCATTAACAAAGCCAAGAGTGAGGCAGCACGAAGTTCCAGTCGAGGTATAGTTTGTAAGACTCTGGGAGTGACTTTGGACTTAGCTATTAGTAAACGCGTTGAGATAACTCCGTCTTCACTCACACAGCGTATGTAAATGGCCGCTCCATACGCATCGGTTGAGGCATCAGAAAAGCCATGAAGTTGCAAACATGCGTCTGGTGTTGTTTGAATCCATCGAGGAATTTCAAACGATGGAAACAGTGTGAATTGAGCAACGAATTTTTTCCAATCATCAGCGATTACAGACGAAATTAATTCATCCCAATCACATTGCGAAGCCCAAATTCGTTTCATGAAGAGCTTAGCCTTGACGGTGATAGGTGCAAGCAGTCCCATGGGATCAAAGAGTCTAGCGATGTTTGACAAAACGAAGCGTTTCGTTAGTGGCCCGTCTGTATCGTACTTGAATTTGAAATTCAAAGCGTCCGATTTGGAGTTCCAATAGATTCCCAACGTCTTGACCGTTTTGTCAGGATTCAACGATAGCGGTATGGACACTTCACGGTCTTCAGGTGGTACGACTTCCAAAAGCTCGTTGGTGTTACTCGCCCATTTTTTAACATCGAAACATCCAGATTTAAAAATTTCGATGATTTCCTTCTGCAAGCGAAGAGCTGAGGGAAGATCATGAGAACCAGAAATGATATCATCGACGTAGATGTCCTTCTTGATAATTTTAGCTGCTTCTGGATATGTCGGTTCGTTCGTCTCAGCTAAATCTCTCACAGTTTGTATGGCTCCACAAGGTGCATAGTTAGTCCCGAATGTCAACCGTTTCATACCGTATTCTCTGATCTCTTCAGATGGATCATCACGCCACAAAATGCGATGAAAGGTTGTATCATCATCGTGCAATCGTATCTGTCGGTACATCTGCTTAATGTCTCCCATGAAAACGATTCGATGACAACGCCAGTTGAGTAAAATTGCGATGAGATTTTTGAGCTGGTCCAGGAAAGACAATGTCGTTCAACGAATTTCCGTTTGTTGATGGCTTTGAAGCGTTGAAAACAACACGAACAGGTGTAGATGAACTGAGCTCGTTGATAACAGCATGGTGTGGAAGGTAGAAACAATTGTACACAGGCAAACCACTTTCATTGAAGGCTAAACAATCGCTTTCGGTGTTTGATAGTAAAACCATATGGTCGCTGTCCAAGTATCCATGGATCACATCTCGGTAAGCTCGTTTTAGTTTTTCGTTTCGGGCAAAGCGGCGTTCAAATTGAAGAAACTGTCTCAGCGCTGCGTCACGTGACTTGCCCAGAAACGCCGTTGGATCAGTGCGAAATGGGAGTTTGATAATATAACGACCATCATCAGCTCTTCGAGTATGCTGCTTGAAGTAATCAATACAAAACTGCTCGTCCGCAGTAAACTGACGTCTTTCAGGAACTTCTTCTGTCTCAAAAAATTTGTGTAGCAAGGTATCAATGCGTGAGACGTTAATTGAGGTAGAAGTTTGAGGTCTTTCTCCTTCACACGTAGCTCCAAACAGAATCCAACCCAATTCAGTATCATGGGCTAATGGAGTGCCTTTGGGACCTCTCCGGATCTCAGGACGAAAGATATCAGCATAAACTTCAGAGTTCAACACCAAGTCGACCGGAATCTGGTGATTGAATTTTGGATCTGCTAATTGAATGCCTCGTATGTGAGGCCAATCCGCATAAAGGAGCTGCTTGGATGGCAGTCGTTGAATGAGTGACTTCATCACTAGAGCATCGACGGTGGTTGTGAACTTTGAATGAAGAGAGCTGATAGTGAATGAAACATAGCCGTTGCTGGAAGATTGGGCATTGTCCAAATGTGTCACGTCAATTTTGCATCTTGTTTTGTTGAGTTTTAGAAGCTGAGACGCATTTTCGCTGATTGCATTGGCTTCTCCTCCTAGGTCGATGAGAGCACGTAGCACAAACGTTTCACCATTTGATGCATGCGCCTTGACTAGAGCTGTTGCCAAAAGAGTTCTTCTGAATACCGGGCAATCGTTCACTTTCGAGGTATGAATTCCCTTTGATGTGCTTGGTTCAGGAGATGTGGCATCATTAAACAAAGTTTTTTGAACTGGTGGATGTAGCAACGTATGATGACGACTTCCACACTGCATACAGTTGCGCTTACTCAAACATTTGATCACGACATGAGTGTCGGACAAACAGTTAAAACATAGCTTCAATCGCACGACATCGGCTGATCTCTCTTGAGCAGACTTGGCCAGGAACTCTGGGCACGAATAAACAGCATGTTCAAGAGAACATAAAGGACACTTCATTGGATTTGTTTGCTTCGGCGATGAAGTTCGATTTTCAGGCTTTGTCATTTGAGTAGGCTTTGTTTTCATGTGAAGCAATTTCACAGATTTTTTCGTTTCAGAATTCGGCTTACTCTGATTAGATTTTTCTTCGGTTTTCAGCAATTCCAAAGTCCGCAAACTTTGCTCAATGCGCTGGGTGACATCACTGACCGTTGGCAGCTCTTCTTTTTGTACAGCCCCTCTCTCAAATTCTTTTCTTGTTTCCAAAGGTAGTTTTTCGATGGCAAGGTATGCGATCACAGAATCAACTGCCGATACGACTATGTCAACGTTTTTCAGTCCTTGAATTGTATCGTTCACTACTGTCGCCAATTTTTGCAGCTCTAAAACTGATTCGTGTTTACTGCGTGGAAATGTGAGGAGCATTTGCATCGTGTCCATGAAAATTGCTCTTTTATTTTCATATCGCGTAGTGAGCAGTAGCCATGCAGGCTCATAATTGGTGTTGGTGATTGGAAGATGTTTGACAACGTCAAAAGGCTCACCAATCAATGCATCGAACAGGTACTGCATCTTGGACACAGCGGCTAGTTGTGAATTATCATGCACAAGGGCGTTGAACTGGTCCTTGAATGAATTCCACTCGGTGTACTTTCCGGAGAATGTTGGCAGTTTCAACGGTGGCAATTTTGAATCAAGTTTTTTCGATGGTGCACCCAAAACTGGTTCCTTCGATGCATACATATTTTGCAGAGTTTCTTCAATTGCCGAATAAATACTCACGAAAGTGTTGTCGTATTCTTCTTGAATGTTTTCCGAAAAATAAGGCAGGTTTTCTTCTCCTTTCAGGATGGTGGCTGTTATTTGGTCATGAGTATTGAAGAAATTCACATATTCCTGATCGAGTAATTGCAAGCGTTTTTTTAGTTGAAATTCATTGTGCGACTCCTCACTGTAAAAATTTTCAGCGCATTTCTTCAGTCGGTTGAGCCTCGCTAATTGTGTGTTGTGTACTGGTTGGTTCGACATCTCAGAGGGACGCTGATTTGATCTGTCCATATGAGACATTTTAATTTGTGTTCAATTTAGGTTTCGGCACCAAAATGAAAAGTTGTGTTTTAACTAACGAATTTAGTTTATTACTGAACGA